CCTACTTCCATCACCCATAGTTGCAGAGGGGACATTCATTGCTCACCTGGAGAGGCTCGCCAGTGCCTCGAGTCGCCCACGCTTGCGAAGGCCGAGAAGGGGAGGGGGGAGGGTTGTGTCCCACAGGCCAGCTGAGAGCGCGTGGCGGGTAGGAGAGGAGGGTGTCACCGAGAGGGACGCTCCCTCAGGCCCACCCCCCTCACTGAGAGGGCGCCCCCGAGGAGCAGCGCGCACTGCCTGGACCCACTTGGGCTGAGATGTGAATGGAGCGGCAGAGACTCCTGGCTCCTCCTCCTCCCACGCCGCCGGCCCCTCTTATTTGAGCATTGGGAAGCCGGGGGCAGCCAGGCAGCTTGAGTAAGGAGTTCAAGGCAGCGCCCACACCCGGTTGTTCTCCGAAACCCGACCGCCTGTCGGCTCCCCCATTCCTGTCCGTCCTCCCACTCATTCACCTACCCACCCACCCAGAGCCGGGCCTGCAGCCCAGGAACCGGGGCCCCGCTGCCTCTTCACCGCGATCCTGGACTTCCTCCTGCCGCCAGAGCCGGCTTCCACGTGTATCCTGGAGCCGGCGTCTTCGCACACGCTCCGCTCTGGACCTGGGTATCTTCAGCAACCTGAGCAGTCGGGGATCCGAGGCCCGGGGGGCATCTGGGCCAAGTTAGGCGTGGCCGAGTCAAGCACTGAGCGTCGGCAAGACCTCAGGAGTCGGGGGGCATCCGGGGCTGAGCTGCAGCAAATGGGCTCCGACTTGCGGGACCTGAACGCGCTGCTGCCGGCGGTGCCCTCGCTGGGTGGCGGCGGGGGCTGCGCCCTGCCGGTGAGCGGCGCCGCGCAGTGGGCACCGGTGCTGGACTTTGCGCCCCCGGGGGCCTCGGCATACAGTTCGTTGGGCGGTCCTGCCCCACCGCCGGCTCCGCCACCACCCCCGCCGCCGCCGCCGCCTCACTCCTTCATCAAACAGGAGCCGAGCTGGGGCGGCGCGGAGCCGCACGAAGAGCAGTGCTTGAGCGCCTTCACCGTCCACTTCTCCGGCCAGTTCACGGGCACAGCTGGAGCCTGTCGCTACGGACCCTTCGGTCCTCCTCCACCCAGCCAGGCGTCCTCCGGCCAGGCCAGGATGTTCCCCAACGCGCCCTACCTGCCCAGCTGCCTCGAAAGCCAGCCAGCTATTCGCAACCAGGGTAAGGAGGCCGGGGAGCGCCCCCTACGCGCGGGGCGGTGGCGAGGGGCCGTCGTAGCGCGCGGGCACTCCTCTGTCCAATCCCTTCCCAGACCCTAGCTCTTACCCGCTGCCGCCCCAAGGACTGAGAGGGTAGAGGAAGCAGCCGCTGGGGAAGTGGAGGCCGGAGAGAGGGAGTACAGGCCGGCGCGGGTTCCTGACATCCTTGGGAGCCGGGCTGTTCGCTTGAGCCGGGAGGTCATCTGGGGCCCCTCTGAACCCTGGAGTTTCCGGGACTGAGAATCCCCTTGGGAGTGGGAAGGGGGAATCCGTGCAGTGTCTGTCTGTGCCTTGGAAGAGGTTTTTGCCATTCAAGGCACCTCCAAACTGTCACCTGGCATTGGACTTTTTAGACAGACTGTGGGTTCAGAGTGGGACCAGCCCGTGCTGCCTCGGCAGCGCCAAAAGTGTCCAGAAACTGCTCTATCCCTAAACACGGTATTGGCAGACTTTAGACGCACAATAGGTATCATAGAACGCGGGAATGAATCAATGAACAGGCTGGCAACTTATCACTGGCTTTCCTGAAACCATGTCCCTGTCAGCCTATGGCTCCTTAGGATGGTAGTATGGAAGCAGATCTCTCCTAGGCTCAGGTGGCCGCCACGCGGGCTCGAGGGCTGGAGGAGAAACCCAGTTGTCCGATTCCAAGCTGTTCGGGACTGGGTCCTACTGTAGGCATCGAAATAAGGCCCGAGTTTCAGGTGCCTCCTCTTTGAACGCGGGGCTCAGCTGGGGAGAGATCTTTGCGAGACTTGGGGGTTAGAAGAAGGCCGGTTTATTTGCTGTTTCAGTCATTGTGCATCGAGGTACACGGCCGGCAGTTTGCTAGCCCTGCCCGGGCGCTAGCACATGTCTTTCTCAGTCAGGAACGAGAACGGGCCAATCATGATGGCTACGGTAGTTTGGTTTCCAAATTTATTTTAATTTTTTTCCTCCTCTGTTGGGAACCTAAACCAATTCGGGTTGATTCGATATTTTAGGAAATACTTTGTAAACGCAGTGGTGGATTCTTTTCCTGGAGCAAAATTTCTCACGGCCGAGGGACTGGGATGTTTCCGGAATGCGCGGGGTGGTAGAAGCAGAGTGTGTGCTGTTTGCAGGGGGTACTGGGACTCTCAAGGCGCAGAAGAAAGGCTCAGTTCTTCTGAGGTCACGCTCACCTTCTGAACGCTTATCTCCCGGTGGCCTGTGCCTACCCTAGCCCAGCCAGGAACCTGTGGCCCACAAGAAGCCCTGGCGAAAGTGAAACTGCTCTCCTCTCCTTGTCCTGGGAATCTGGGATACCTGTCCCTTGGAGAACTATTAAGCCAATTGGACCCATGGGGTCCCGCCACTGTAGATCTTTCAAAGGGTGTTGGAACAGCTCAGCTTAGAGGCTCCCCTTCCCTGATTGTGCCACCTCTGATTAGAGGCTGGTGTGACCTTGGCAAATCTCCAGGTCTCAGTTTCCCCACCTGTAAGAAGGCAGCTGAAATGGGTATCAGGTCGGGCATGATGATCTGTGCAGGAGGCCAACTTTCTCTCGGCTTCGGGTTCTAAATACAGAGGGTAGAGCTGCCCGTCTAAACTTGGCTTGGTCTGGCCTGGCCAAGTCGGGCGGGCAGGTGTGTGATGTGAGTTTCTGTGTAAGTGTGTGCTGTGTGGAAAGGCCTGAGAAACCATTGATTTAAGTCACCTGACAGCAAAATACTGTTGCCTCATTATCACTTGTTTGAGTCTCTCTATGTACTGTGAAAAATTTTGGAACCTGGGCTCTGTGGCTTTGTTTGGGCCCAGTATCCAGCTTTCCAGGGCAGGTCTGTTGCCTGGGGTCCCATCAACCCAGCATGGGGTGAGGAAGCCAACTGCTGGCTTCCTAGCCAGTGGGCACTAGTATGGTAGACAGGCTGGCTGCCAAAGAGAAAGAGGTTTGAGAGCTGGACACCAGGACTAAAAGGTGAAGAAGTTCCCTCGTCCCCACCCTGAGGAAGAGCCCAGTGGAGGGCTGACCTCAGGACGGGAGGGGGCACTGCCTATAAGTCCAGTTCTGTCTGAGGGCTTAGGTTTTTTCTCTCAGTGAAAATGTAAATGGGTCACTGGCTCAGCTCTCGGGACTCACTTGGCAGCTGGGAGCTGGGGTGGGATGTCAGAAGCTGTTCCAGCTTCAGCTCTGCTGTTGGCCTCGAGGCCTGGAGATTCCGGGTTTATTCACTTGACTTCCGGGGTTTCTGCGGCTCTTCCAGGAATGAAGGGACTGGTGGGAGGCTCGGGCTGAGGGAAGCCAGGGCATCAGCTCCTTTCCCAAAGTGTGGGAATGGCCATCTGCAGCCCCAGGCCAAACTGTCCCCAAATAGGGTAGCCTGGCCACGGCCCACAAGAGAAGACAATTTCTGGCACCCTCTCAACGCCGCCCACCCCCCCCAGGCATCAAGACTCATTTGTTTTTTCCCTATTCCCTGAATGTGTTTTTCCTATAAAAAAACATTTATAGCCCATGTCTTAACCTTACTTCTAAACATTAGTTACACAAACATTTATTGAACACCTACTCATGCCAGACACTGGGGATTGAATATTAAGACTATGCACTTCAGCCTTTACCTGAAGCTGGCAGCCTGACTGCGGGGGGGTCCCCCTTATTTTTGGATAAGGAAATTTAAGTTCTAAACGGTTACGTGTGTGCAAACGGTTAGGTTTGAGCTGGCACGATTCTAGGCCATTTTTTACCTGCTTTTCCAGGGATCTGGGCCCACTTTTGACATGGGTTCTTCCATCTCACGGGATGGGCACCAGAACCCACTGTAGTCAGTGCATGAGTGGTTGCCAAGGCAGAAGTGGTGTAAAGACTTGGGTAGCCCCAGATTAAGTAGCCCCAGATTAAGTGCCGGGGTTTGGAGAAGGGAAAATGGCTTGTCAGTGAGGCCCATTCCCCAAACCCCACTGGAGCACCTATCCATAGCGCAAGAGGAGGCCTTGGCATCACCAGCCACCCTAAGGTCCCTGAGGAGACTGGCTTGGCCCAAGAGCCAAGGGCGCTCTCCTTGGATCGCATTGGAAAGGGTATTTCATTGTGGGACCGATTTCACCCTTATCCTTCAGTAGCTGCGGTATCATCAATATCAGCTTTCTAACCTGACTCCCTTCCTGGCTGAGCCTGCTGTCCCACTGCACCCCTCAGCTCCCTGGCGGGGCTGAGGGTGGGAAGGGGAGGACGCTGGCGTGGTCGAGTGGTTCCTGGGCTCCTCAGCCGCGGCGGGCGGGGGAGGGAGACGCAGAACGTCTTGCCTCCTGGCGCGGTCAAGGTTGCACTCCCTTCCCGGGCCCTGACTAACCGTGGGAAAGGCACTACCTTGGATGCTGGAGCTTCTTCCTCTACGACCTGTACAAGCTGTACAAGGAGCCTTAGAAGACGCTGCCCCTTTCTGCCGGCAGCTGTCCCTCCCCCGTGCCCTGTCCCCGTGCTCTGCTCGACAGGCCTAGCGCGAAGCCTCTGGACAGCGCGCTCTAATCAGTCCCGCGTCAGATAGGCTTCTAATTAAAAGAGTCCTCCCTCCCGGGCCCAAGCTTTCAGGAAACACTGCCCCTCCCGGGGAAGCTCAAGGAGGGGGTAGGAAGCCGGCCCCTGTCCACCGGGGTGTGCGTGTCCTGTCTGGGAGGGGCCCTGGGGAGCCTCGGCGTGCGCAAAGACGACGTCGCAGCCCGCAACCCGTGGCTTTGCTGCTAACCGGCAGCCGCAGGTCCTGCCTCCGAAGACAGCACAGTGCGCCAGGGCCGCTGCTTACTCTACGGCTCAGGAATGGAGAAGGGTTGGTCAAGAGGGAATTTCTTTGTCGCTTCTGTTTCTTCTTTTTATTTAAAAAGTTTTCCTTTCAAATTTCGGCCTTCGCTGTGCAAAATTGGGTGCTCGGAGCCAAATTTCGTTTGTAAGCTGATCGATAGGCCTCTAACAGAGCCCGGCGTCCGCTCCCAAAAGGAAGTGCCTGGAAGCCCAAGCGTGCTCACCCTCGCCTGACAGCTATGGGGGCGGGGGTTATCTTTGCCCACTTAGCAGGCGAGAAATGGAGGCCTCTGGGGTCATGCAAATTGTAGAAGCTGGTGGCTTCTTCAGTTGTCGTCCTGTGACCCCAATTGGTGCCGGGGACTTAGCTTGCTCTGTACAATTCGGTAATTAAGACCTGCCCGAATCCTTCCTCCTCCTCTGACAAACCACATTCCCTGGAGTGGGCCCCATGGAAGCTCTGTTTCTGTTTCAGGGGTTCTGTTTCAAAGATGAGGGTAGTGGCCTCCTTTTTCTGTCTAGCCTAAGTCTTCTGGGACACTTGTTGCAGAGGGATCGTGGGGCAGGGGGACGGGGCGGGGGGGGGGGGGGGGGGGGATGAGGGCTGTTTGACCTCAGTCCCAAGAATTGAGTGGAGTCTGGTGACTCAGCGCAGTGACCCAGCCCGGTGGTCCAACGGGGAGCCAATGTGAGTGTCTGGGCCAATCTCATTTATCACTTGGCTTGGACCTCAGGCCAGAGACTCCTGAGATAGGAGGGGACCCTTCTACTGAGTTCAGCGGCCCAGGACTGATTCGTCTCTTGGCGGTAGGATACTTTTTCCCCAGAGGCTGCAACATTTTTTCCAGAGGCTGGAGGGACATATGTTTAAAGCAAGTTAATAACAATAATCATAGAAGGAGACTACATTTTTTCAACCGATAAACCACATTATTATTACTTTTTCTTACCTTCGGAGAGGTAGGGAAGAACACAGACGGTATTGCCTTCGATTTCTTGAAAGGGAAACTGAGGCAGAGGACCCGCGCCCTGCTGTGATGTTGAGATACAGTGTCAGGCCTGGGGCTCGAGGAAATTAGTCCCCTCAGTCCTCGTCAGAGTCGGACCCGCCGAGCGCGGTGTGGGTCCAGGCAGAGGGGAAGGAGGAGGAGGACGAGGAGGACGCAGGGTCAAGGCCTGCGTGCCCAGTGGGCAGGGCCCCTTCTTTTTCCCCTCACTCGCTATCCCGAGGACCCGGGGTGTCCTGGTGTCGGGTCGCTCAGCCTCAGACAGATAACATTACTCGGTAATTACTCTTCCCATTTAAAGCCCATGCCGTTCAACTGGCTCCGAGTAATTAATGAAAGTTGGTGCGCGAGCCCCTGATTTACGGCTCCGAGTCAGCGCGGGGTCAGCCGAGCAGATTCATTTCGCTCGCTGGCGCTGCCCCTGCGCGAGAGCCGCTGTGTCTGGTTTTGGGGGAGAAAATTTTCTCCGCCGAGTGGTTGGCGGTTTTCATATTTCCTTGCGAGAGGTTCGGTCCAGAAGCAGCCGACACGGTGGAAGGCAAGGGCGTAAAGATTGGGAACCGGCGGGGAGGCCCGGGTGTTACTTGACATAGGGCGTGGAGCTGGTCCTGAGGTCACACCTCGGGGCCTAGGTCCCTCTTCCCGCCGAAAATCCTCGAGGCCGGTGGGCCAGCAGAGCCCTCCGCTGGGGACCGGAATGGGGGGCCGGGAGCTCCTGTGCACGGGCTCCGGTTCAGACCCACCGTCCGCGTCTCCTCGTTGACGCTGTGCTTCTCTCTGCCGCTCCCGCAGGATACAGCACAGTCACCTTCGACGGAACGCCCAGCTACGGCCACACGCCCTCGCACCACGCGGCGCAGTTCCCCAACCACTCCTTCAAGCACGAGGACCCCATGGGCCAGCAGGGCTCGCTGGGTAAGCAGGCAGGAATGCTGTGGGGTCCTCCTCCCCTTCTTTCACGCCACCTCTCCCAATGAATTTCCAACCTACAGCAAATTGGGGAGGGGAGAAGAGGACATCTAAAGGGATTTTTAGAAATAATTAGACCAGTCTCTCATTTTAAAAGAAAAGATCCCCTCCCCCCAAAGTATGTTGCCCTGCTCCACTCAACCAAGTCTAAGAATGTCCCGAGGGTCTTTTCGGTGTATTAGGCAGGGACTTCTAAGCCAATGTAAAGTGGGAAGCTTAGCTCATTCCCATCTGGACGACTCCTCTCTGCACGCCAGGCATCCAGGCTCCATTGCCCCCAGCTTAGCCTTCGAGCCCGGTGCAGGGTGCCCTTTCCCCGTCCCCGCCCGCCGCCCCGCACCCCTGAGCCCCTGGGGCGCGCTCACTCCGCCCTCCCCGGCTCTCCGCAGGCGAGCAGCAGTACTCCGTGCCACCCCCAGTCTACGGCTGCCACACCCCCACCGACAGCTGCACAGGCAGCCAGGCCCTGCTGCTGAGGACGCCCTACAGCAGGTAGGAGGGCGCTCGGCACCACGTCTGGGTCCCCGGGAGCACGGGAATGTCCTATGCAGGGCGTGCAGGGCGCGGGAGGCAAACGATGCTTTTAGCCCACCCAGCTCCTCAGAGCAAAGTAAAACAGATCTCCAAGCTCTGATGAAAAGAAGTAGATCTCGTTTCCTGGTTCTTATTTTGAATATAAGCGAGCGCGGTTACTGTTTGGAACGGAACAAGAAAGAGAGGCGCTTTGAAAAGTTACTTTTTAAAAGGGTTCTTTGCTGGAAGGATTTTAGCATCCTCAGGACCAAAGATTAAACACGGAGTCCACTGCCACGCGGTTCTCACTCCTCAAATCCCCTTCGGCCGCTGGCCAACCCGCCAGACCTCTCTGGGACCACTTCGGGGGCCGCACCCTCGGGCAACAGCTTCCCCCACCCTAGTCCGCCCAGCGGCCTGCGCTCGGCGGGCGCTGTTCTCGGCTCCGGGCGTCGCGCGGCAGCGGGACCCGGGACCGTGCGTGGGACTGCAGCCCGGTGGACGCAGAGCCCTGCGCCTGCCCTGCGCCTGTTCCCGGGAGGCGGAAGGCAGCTTCTTTTCCTTCGAAGCTTTTTTCCTGTACCTTGTGCCTTCTCTCGGCTCTCGCTCCACCCTCCACCTACTCTCCCCCAAATTTATTCTTCAACTTTGGGTGAACTTGGCCAGCAGCCCGCGTCTCCGATAGGGTTGCCTAGTAACTGGTGCACACACCGGCCCGCGCCTGGCGGGGAGCTGGGGAGCAGGGAGGGAGGCGGCAGCTCGCGGCCTCGGAGGCCGGGGATTGGGCGCGCATTACCTCACATACCACCCCTACCCCTCACCCCCGCGCTGTGGCCATCCTGATACCGACTGCCCCTAAACTCATCTCCATCCTCCCTCCCCTCCGCTCCAGGACCCGGGGCTGACGTCAAGGGAAGGAGGTAGTGAGGTAATGAAGGAAGGAAAAGCGCCTGTCCCTGGGAGACTGGGTGGGGGGAATGGCCGCGCCTGGGGGACCTTCAGTCCCACAGGTGGAGGAGGGGAAGGAGTCTTCGCTCCTGAGCCCGCGGTGGCACATCCCAAAGTCCTGGCGTGCTTACGAAATTGAGCCTAGGACTGGTCTGATTCTCCTGTCCCTCGGAAGGACAGGGCCGAGCCTTTCCCATTTCTCTATGCTTGAGCTGCGTGGGCTTTGAAAATCTTTTATTTAAATCGGAAAATCCGGCGTATCTAATCGGATCTTGGATTTGAGATCGCGTTTTGTTTTTGTTTTCTTCTTTTTCCTTTTCCCCCCTCTGTCCCCCTCCTTTTCTTCTTTTCATTTTTCTTTTTCCTTCCCCTTTTCCGTTCCTTTTCCTTTCTCTTCCCTTCCCTTCCTTTCCTTTCAGAGAGATTTCCTCTCCTCTCCTTTCCTTCCGTCCTTTCGATTTTGACTTAGGACTCTGGAGACAGACGGGGGCAAAGAAACGCACCCAGTTGCTCAGGTAGAAAGGTCACAACTGATCACCCTCCTTTGCTCCCTTCCAAGCTCACATGCAGTTCAGTGCTTCAGCACCAGCGGCCCAGCGCGCTGCCCCCAGCCTGCCATTGCCCTTTATGTGCCTCCCCTCCAAGGGTCAGGGCAATGGAATGGAGGCAGAATCCCCAACCATGCCCTGCTGTGATCCTCCCCCTTTAGCAAAACTGGGTGGAGGCGTTATTCCCCTTCTGCTTGAAGAGCTGCTTCTGCCCATTGCCAGAGTGGCATTGCTATTACTCCAGTAGCCATTGGGAGTGCGGCCGGAATGCCCCCATGGGATGGTCTTGGCCTGCTTCTCCCTCCTTGGCCCTGCTTGGTGCCTCACCCCAGGTGGAGAAGAGGACCTGATGCCTGAGTGGGTGCTGTTTAGATGGGGCCGGATCCCATCTGGGAGCTGGGGACTGAGAGGCCACTGGAGTCTGGTTCAGTAGTGACACGCAGCTACGCCCAGTTCTTACTCTTTTCTCTGAAGCATAAACCCGCCCTGTGGGGCACTAGGAAGGGGCCCATTAGAGGGACTGAGCCACACAGGAAAAAATGGGGTCAGGGATAAAATGATCGCAACCACTGGTTTAATGGCGATTCTCCAAATCGAGTCTTTGGGGGTGGATTTCGACTTAGGGCTAAATGTGAGATTACTATGGAAGTAGAAAAAGTCACTTGAATTGCATTTTATGCATCCAATTTTCAGTTTTCTAGTCCAGCTTCCAATTGGCCACTGTATAGAGCAATTTTGTCATGTTCATCTTTTGGAAATACCTGCTTATCCATTTTTTTCTTTCTGTTGAGTTGGCCAAAAAGTCTGTATGGTTTTTTCTGTAAAACAAAAGACACATTTTCCATTTTCACCAATAACTTTATTGATTTGAATAGTTTGAGAGTGCCGGCTCTCTCCTGCATGGTATAACATTATTTGTTTTCAATTAATATTGCGATTTGATTGTTATCAACTTCAACTCGTCTACTCAACCATGGAGCATTGTCCAGCGAGAAATCCCCAGCATGAAACTTTGCAAGCCACCTTTGACATGTTCGATCAATAACAGCACCTTCTCCATATACTGCACAAATATTTTTTTGCATTTCAGTTCCATTTTTACCTTTCTTGAAATAATAAAGCATAAGTGTTGCTTATTTTATTCCAGCTTCAATATTATGATGGCTACACAAAAATTCATCAATTTTGGTTAAGTTTTAAAAAAACGCATGATGATATGACAGCTGCCAAAATACAACCTAACAAAATTGTTTTAAATGAAGTTAAAGGCAACTAGAGCCATCATATGGAAAAAAACCAAATGAATTTTTTGGCCAACCTAATAGATAATTATAAATTCTTGCTTCTCGTTTTTATATGAATGTCACAAAACACCATTTTCTCCTGTTACAGAAAATTGCCTGAACAATAACGTCTCCTAAAACAGAGTTTGTGACCCCAGTAGGAATAGATTTTGTTCCCTCGAAGTTTGTACTATTTGAGTCTTTGGAGCTCCATCCACAGTGAAGTCACAAGATTTCAAATCATTTTGCAAGGATCAGGTACTTCAAGCCGGAGGACATGTGATCCATATACGCTGTTTAAATAGCTGTGTAAACAGGTGTTCCACGGTATTCTCAGTAACTCATTTCCATCCAGCTATTAAAACAGTTGTTGATCAAGGGAGTCTTCAGGTACTGAAGTAATAAAGCAGGAATCCAAATGATAATTAAGTATCATGAAAAAGAATCTTGAAGGTTTAGCATTGCCTGATATAGAGTAAGTACTTAATAAATGTTAAATATTTATTGGGGATGTTGTTTTTATTAGAAGGTTTATTGGCACTACGCTGAGGCCGCTGTCTTCTCTCTAAGAGCCGGGTGTCTTCTGTTTGTTCTCCTTGAAAGAGGTGAAGTCTTTCTCCTGGAGCTGCTGGCGGCTAGGGAGCCCTGTGTTTGCTTAGTGTGCCCTTCTCGTAGAGACACTCTGGTGGGTGCACCATGTGAAGCCTTTTCTTCTTTTCCCCCAGTTCTCTGGGATGGATGGCTTGAGAAGAGAGCACTGTCTAGACATCTTACAGTTCACTTAAACAAATTGCTTTTTAAACAAATTCTCTGTAGTAGCAATGCCTGATGTCTCAAGACAAACTATGGATTAATTTAGCTTAATTGAAAAAAAAAGAAAAAAAGATCAGATACTTCCCCGGCAGTAATGATGAATGGACGGGTGCAGGGATATTTTACTACTGGGTCTGTGCATCGCCATTACTGCAGTTATGTCATTTTCTTCTTTCCTACTCCTAAAAAAAGTTTGAAAAACTCTTTAAATGCTTTTGGGAACACAGTGTTTGAAAAAGCACAAAAAATAACTTTAATCACTTAATAACTTTACTTTTGGATTTTTGATATTCAGGGGTGCTTTGCTGTCTAAAATTGAGATCTGTGGGGAGCGGCTTGCTTGAGTTTTGCTTGCCTCGTTGCATTTGACCCTCTGAGGCGGCCTGCCCAGCTTCTTCCCCACCCATCGTCCCAAAGCGGTGCTCCCCAGGCTTGGATTTAGTCTCCCTTCCCAGCATGAAGTAAAAACAGTGGGACATATATGGACATTAAATAAGCAGTACATAACGTGAATTTGCTTTGAGGAAATTCTCAGGATTCTCTACTTGTTAGGAGAGAACTTTACAACAAGGGAAACATGGTAAGTTCTCTCTTCTCTCAGGTAACGGATCTGAAGGGTTACAGCTATACATTTGTGTGTTGGTGTAAACAGCAGTGAATAGAAAATGCCCCCAAACAACTTATGGGAAGTGATTGGAGATTGTTTCCCTTCTCCCTGCCCCTCCCCACCCTCCTGCCCTGCTACATATTGAAGGTGGGTAGAGTTTTGTCTAAAAGTTACTAAGGCTTATGAAACTAGATTTTGGCACTTAGGGAAGCCCGCGGTCATACCTGGGTGAAAGCTTGAGTCTCTGTAACATAGTACCTAGGGTTTATTAGTGCATGCTCACTACATGCTGCTGGGCATTGTGCTGAGCGCTTCACTCTCAGTTCATTCATTCAATTCTTCTGATTAATCCATGAAGTGCGTGCTCTAAACTCCATTCTGCTGAGGAGGAAATAGATTTGGAGAGTCAAAGTAACTTGTCCAGGGTCACACAGTGAGTGATAATCAGAACCGGGATTCGATCCTCAGTATCTCTGATTTCAAAGCCCATCTGTGCTCTGGATCACCGAGGGATACCAGGCCACTCCACCTGGAATATTCCCCTGATACCGTCCATGCTTTTATACAAACTTACTTCACCCAGGCACCATTCTAAGCACATTACAAGTGTTGACTTATTTAATCACATGACAACTCTTTGAGGTATCATCGCTTTGAGGTTATCACCCCCCACTTCACAGAGGAGGAAGCTGAGGCCTTGGGAGGTGAATTTGCCCAGCGACAGAGTCAGGGGCAGAGCTGGTGTTTATATCTGGTTGGTGAGGCTCCGGATCCGTGCTC